GCAGACGACGTATTATTCATGTCTCCCAACCCGCGCTCGAGAGGGACACGCATTCCGCTGTCTTCCGCCGCGTTCCGCTGCATCCCACTGCATTCACACCCCTCGTATCTGAGTACTCTGCACGACACCGTCCTCCCGCCCCGAGGCTGGCGTGTTCACACAAACTCACAAGCCCGGTCCCACGCCTCTCAAGCACAGACAGCCGAGAAGGGAGAGACAGCGACGGCAGGCAGCAGGCAGCACTGGGCCCCAGGAAGGCGAATGCGATTACGGCCTCTAGTGCGAGCTCTATTCACCATAGGTGTACACACTCACACTCACACCGCAAACCCACGCGCACCGGGCCCTTGCACTTTGAATGCCGTGGGGCTCCTGTCGTCCAGACGTGGAGTCGCGAGGGGCTAGCCTGGCCCTTGCCCCACCACCTTGTGTGTGTGGAGAAGTTGACCTCCCCTCCCCTTCCCTTAGGTGTACAACGAGCAGCTGCGCGACCTACTCTACGGCGAGGCCGGCGACCCGCCCAAGCTCACCATCATGCACGACGACGCCTGGGGGACCGTCGTCAACAACGTGTCCACCTACGAGGTGACCTCGATGGAGCAGATCAACCTCCTCATGGCAAAGGCGGCCAAGCAGCGCGCCGTCGGCTACACCGACATGTGCGCACCCGCGCCGCCGCCGCCGCCGCCGCCGCCGCCGCCCTGTGTGTGCGCACCCGTGTCTCATTCCGCCCGCCCGCCCCCGGCAGGAACGCCGCCTCGTCGCGCTCGCACTCGATCTTTGCGCTCTACCTGACGGGTGTCAACGAGGCGCTCGGCTCGGAGCTGCACGGCGCGCTGCACCTGGTGGACCTTGCCGGCTCGGAGCGGCTCGACCGCTCGGGGGCGACGGGCGAGCGGCTCAAGGAGACGCAGAACATCAACAAGTCGCTCTCCAGCCTGGCAACCGTCTTCTCGGCCAAGGCGGCCCGGCAGGCGCACGTGCCGTTCCGCGACTCGAAGCTCACGTACCTGATGGACTCTTGCCATAGAAGCGGAACGCGCATTCTTGTCTCTTGCAACCAGCGCTCGGGAGGACACGCACTCAGCCGCATTCGACCGTACTCCGCTGTAGTCACTGTACTCGTAGCCCCTCGTACTCACGCGGTGCTCTGAAGACTCTGCACGAGACCGTCCTCCCGCCCTGAGGTTGGCGTACCCACCACGTAGACTGCCCACATCTCCCCATATCTCCCCATATCTCCCCATATCTCCCGCCCTGAGGCTGGCGTACCCACCACGTAGGCTGCCCACATCTCCCCATATCTCCCCAGATCTCCCGCCCTGAGGTTGGCGTACTCACACCGTAGGAGCCCTGCCTCTCGGGCCAGGGCAAGACCCTCATGGTGGTCAACGTGGCGCCTGAGGAGAGCAACTCGCACGAGACGCTCTGCTCGTTGCGCTTTGCCAACCAGGTGAGCCAGTGCGATACGGGGGGCAAGCCCAAGCGCAGCGCAAAGCCCGCCGGCTCCGCGGCGACGGTGCCGAACCCGCAGCGCAGCTCTGTTCGGGACTCTGCCGCCTCCGCCCGCAACTCCGAGCGCAACTCCGCGGCGCAGAGGGACTGGAGCAAGCCCGGTGGCGTCCCGACTCGCAAGGCGAGCACTGTGCCGAGCGGCAGCCGGCGGCCAGCAAAGTGAGCGGGGCGGATGAAGCCGCTGTGGCGTCAGCGTCGAGCGAATCTCGAGGCGGCGCAGGCCGCTGCTCTGCAGCGGCAGAACCTTGTGAGTACTGTGGGACTCGGCGGCGCGTGGCGTACCCCGCGCGGGAGGGACCGCCCGGATGGCGGGGCTGCGCGGAGGGTCGCCACGAAGTCTGTTGGTTCGCAGCGGGGGGGACACTGCAACAGCGCAGGTTGTTGTATGTACGTGCAGAGATGTTGGCCAGTTGGGTGGGGCAGGGGTATAGCATGTGTTTGCGCGTGTGGCGTCGATCCGACTCTGAGATCTAAGTGTCTCACCATGTGCACGCCGACAACAAGCAACAACACGCGCCGCCGCGGCGGCTCGGGGCGCCTCGGTCGGCACTCGAGGGTCGAGCTCGCTGGTCGCTCGGGCCTCGGCCCCTCCCTCCGTCCGCGGGCCTCGCCCTCGCGCCTCGGTCCTCGGACGGTGCTCGCCGGTCCGCGGTCGCCCTCGGCCGGCGTCGGCCGTCGCCGCGCGTTGCTCGCGGCGGTCGCCACCTCCATCCCTGAGTCACTGCCCCTGCCCCCCCCTGTCCCTGCCGCCGCGCCGTCGCCGTCCGATTCCTCCCCGCCGCCCGCGCCGGCCTGATCCGCGGCGTGCAACGCCCCCCCCACGCACCACAAACCGCACGGGCGCACGACACCTCGGCATCGCCGCGAACCCCAGCCCCCTGCCGCCGCCGCCGCCGTCCCCGTCGCCGCCGCCTCCGCCCTGCCCCTGGGAGCCCTCCCACTACTGTTCTTAAAACACAAGCCTCTGAACAAGTGAATGAAGAAATTACTAATTAGGCGCCGCCAACCGAGAGGGTGAGAGAGAGAGATTGAGAGAGATTATGTTGTTGTGTGGGAGTCAGAGCTCGTCCTTCTTAGCCCTCTTGCTCTTCTCTCGTTTCGCCTTCCGCGCGTTGACGCGTGCGAGTTTAGAGTCCTTGGCCACCTCCTCGGCCGCCCTCTTCCGCAGCTCGATTTCTGCCTCGATTTCTACGAGGAGGGCCCCGCCCACCTGGCTGCCGCGCAGGTTCAGCTTGGTCAGCTCGGGGGCGACGCCCGGCACCCTCAGCGCCTCGAGCAAGGCCTGCGGGGAGAGTGGGGTGGGGTGGGGTGGGGTGGGGTGGGTGGGGTGGGTGGGTGGGTGTGTGGGGGGTCGATGGGGGAAGGGGATCTTACGCAGAGGGCCCTGTACTGATGGCGGCCGAGGGTCCCGGCCCAGCGGTGCGTGCTGCTGGTCTGCACCATGTGTGAGGGGGCAGGGCGGCGGCGGCGGCGGCGGCGGCGGCGGCGGCGCGCCTGTGCGCCGACGTCGGAGATGCCGGTCCCGAAGAGGTCGAGCTGCTTGAGGTGCGTGAGGTGGTGCGCCGGCTGGGGGGGGGGTGGGGGGGGGGGGGGGGTGGAAGAAGGGAAGAAGAAGAGGGGAAGAGGAGGGGAGGAGGAGGGAACCAGGGGAGGGGCGGACTTTGCTGCGATGCGTTGAGATTCGCCGAGATTTCGCGAGGAGGAGAGAGGCGCAAGGGGGGTGCGTGGTGCCAAGACTACTTGCAAGAGGGCTGGGACGGACGGCGCTCTAGGGCTAGGGAAGGGTGCTCTGCGACATGGCAGTGCGACGTACGACGACGGCGCGCCTCTTCCCACACCCCATCCACCGTCTCCACCGCGCCGCCGGAGGCTCCGAAGACGAGGACGTCCGCCAGCGCCTGTGGAGGGGGGTGAGAGATCTGGAGTCACGGTTGCCTACTGCTACTGCTAGACGAGCACGCCGGCTGCCAGCGCCTGCGCCGCCTCGTCGGCGAGCTCGCCGTTGCGCCGAAGGGAGAGGTTGCTCAGCCACGGGCAAGAGACGCCGAGCGCCGTGAAGAGGACGGCGGCGCCCTCATCGCCTGTTGGACGTGTCGTGGACGTGTCGTGAGCATGTGTCGCACGGAGGTCGCGCCCCCCTCCCACATGGCGGCGTCGCCGATGTTTGCCCGGGAGAGGTCCAGCACGATGAGAGAGGGCAGCCGTTTGACAGCGGTCGCCAGTGCAAAGACGCCGTCGCCGACTTGGTTGTCGCCGAGCAGGAGAGTCAGGAGTGCGTGTTGCGTTCCCGAGCCGATCGCCTTGGCTATGGCCTCCACGCCCGCCTCCGCCATGCCCGTGTAGAACAGGTTGAGAGCCTCGAGCCTCAATGACGGGTTGCCTTTGATTGCTTGCGACAGCGCCACGGCGCCGTCGTCCCGCAGCGCGAATTTGGGAAGGATGACTGCGTTGCAGCCTATCAGGCAGTGCGGACGGCAGCGCTTGTGTGGGAGCGAGCACGGTATACCGTAGCAACGGCGGCGGTCGAGCACCGTCGAGCCGGAAAACATAATCTTTCGGCGCTGAAAATGGGTCCTCAAGCATGTCGTAGGTGCCGCACTGCTCCGCGGGCAGGCTGTCATGCATGTCTTCGGGCAGGTTGTCCTTGAGTATGCCGTCAAGCTGTGATCCGATCGCCGCGTAGACGAGAGGCCACATGGCCGCGTGAAGTGCAATCAAGCGGTGCCTCCAAGGTAGAGGGATTCGAGGTTTTAGGGGGTAGGGTAAAAGCCCTCCTCCTCGCCACGGCACCGGCGGGCAATAGGAGTGCAGGCACCCAGGCCGGCAGCAGCCAGAGAAGCATCCAGATGACGTCGATGCTGCTCCACGGAGGTGAATCCACGCTCCACTCGGGATCCAGCACTCGCAGCGCCGCCATGCTCGTCTCGTCGCTGACTGCATTGAATACAGAGATGTCGAGGTACCCCCCGGCTAGTCCTTCTGACGGGTAGCAAATGGCTCGCGCAAAATTTCCACACTGGATCTGATCCGCAGCAGCCACGTTTGAGCACACCACGGACACAAAGTTGCCACAGAAGCGACTGAGCCAAGACTGAGAGCCTTTTGCAAGATCGACAAAGTCGAGGACCGTGACAGAATATACTGCGGTCCGTCCCGCTCCACCTTCGCTGCCGACAAGACTACTGCTGCCGCTCGTTCCGACTACAACTTGAGATGTAGCCTTAGACGTCTTTGGGAGAATTCGTAGCAAGGCGCCGGATTCGCATGTGTCGGTCAATGAGTCGGGCTTTGAGCAGATCTTTTTGCTCTGATTAATGCTATCAAAGTTAGGCAAATCGCAACCATCGGCAGAAGATACCAACAGTTGGGGACGGACAAAGCCATAGAGGGACCACTCTGGACCAATCAAAAGCTGTCTGAGCGAGTCGGCATCGGGGAGGTAGCGACGAGTTGCCACAACGCACATGGACAGCACCGCCTTGACCTCTGGTGGCAGCGGCGGAGGCAGAGGAGGTGGCTGTGAGGGTGCCAGCGTCAGGTTGTGTTCCGTGTAACGCATGCCACCACAGTCAACCTCCCAAGTGGCCGTGCCAAGCGGCGGCGAGGAGGAGTCGTCAGAGTTGAAGCGCGCATAAACATCAGACCTTTTCGTCACGACCCAGGCGCTAGTGTCGTATTCGACGTACGACGCACCGAGCGAAGTGTCGCGAAAAAACGGCGAGTCTCGACGATGCGAAGCATTGCGGCTTTCAGCAACGTACTCCAGCTTGTCGAGATCGCTTCGCGAGTCGCAGTAACCGGTGATGACGAATCGCGGGTTTTTAAGTGGCAGCAAGGGAGGAGACGAAGGAGGCAGCTGCGGCGAGCGTAGCGCCATGGTGGAAACAGCGGCCAGCGAGGACAGCGACGGCGAGAGTAGCGCCATTGTGGAAAGGGCGACCAGCGACGGCGACAGCGACGGCGAGAGCACTGCGGCGGCTAGGGCAGCAAAGGCGGCGGAGATGGCAGTGAGCAATCATTGACGATGGCAGAAAAACATTTGGCGATATCTTTGGTGTTTTCTCTTTCTTTTGGGGGGCGCATTCGGACGAGCCTCACTGTCTTCGCCTTTCTAGGTATGTATCTATCTATGGGACTCTGCGACATGATTGATTGATGGGAAGGCGAAACACAGTCCGACCAACGACTGGGACACCAACGCGGTATGGGTGGACGCAGGACGGGCGATGACGGTCACACAGGAGCGACACACAGAACCACAAGACAAGACACTCAGCCAACCTGGAGCGAACTTCCCTAGACACCCGCGGCCGGACTCCATCCGACACGCGTCGCTGGGCGCTCAGAGCCGCGTCCCCTGCTCGCCACCCCGACGCCCAAGGCGCCCGAGTCGAACGACAGGCGGCACGCGAAGACTGGTTGCAATCCCGCCGACCGCCAGGCCGCGGGATGATGCGTGCGTGGTCTTGTAGTGGGTCTTGGAAGCTCCCCTCTCGGGCTAGGGGCCAGCCCCTCTCCCTTGCCCTCGGAACAGTGTGTCCGAGTCGAGGCGTGTGCTTGCCGGTCGACGGCCGCGCGCGGTTGGCATTGTGACGAAGGGTGCGCGCGGCCGCTGGGGCGGGAGGGTTGAGAGAGAGACCCATGACCATCCCATGACTACATGGGCCACACTCACATGTATATGTCTTTGCATGTAATAGTTTTGTTATACCCTCATGGGGCACAAGAAAGAGGCTCTACGGGGGGGGGGATCTGACTGTGTACGGTCTGTGCTGCTGTTGGGCAGTCAGCGCTGCTGTCAGGCCACTGTGTGCTGTCGGGCTGTCAGGCAGCTGTCAGGCTGTCACGTTAGGGCCTGACAGCGACGGAGCGCCTCGCCTGTCAGGCTCTGCTGTCAGGCTGTCAGATACGTGCTGTCAGACTGTCAGAGAAAGTGCTGTCAGCGCTGTCAGGCTGTCGGGCACTGTCAGGCGCTGTCCGGGGTTTGCTGTCAGGCTGTCAGACCAGGGCTCAGATAAGAGGCAGGAACGCGGCCGCCACCTGCGGCGGTCCATCAGCGCGTTCGAGCTCGAGAACGGCACGCCGCCACCACACAGGGCCTCGAGTCCGTGCAGCGTCCTGCCTCTTGCGATAGAATTTTACGACAATAATGTATATTTGTATCGCGCGCCTGCGGGGGGGGGCGCGGAAAAGAGGAACCTCTGCGCCATCGACACGGTGCTGCGAGCAGCGCCGGGCGACGACGGCTTAGAAAACGCCGTGCGGCCGGACCAATGCCACCACCACCATCTCCTCCTCCCCCGCCGCCTCCACCACCACCGCCGCCTCCACCATCGACAACAAACGCGGTGGGCAAGCAGTGGGCTGTAGTCCTCCCGGCACCCCGCGCTAACCTCTCTGATGGCAGCGTTGTTGGCCTGGCCGACATCTCACAGATCGACTGGAGTACCACTGTCGCTGTGTCCCGCGCTGGGACACACCCGACGCTGTTTGTGCATGTTTCCGGAGGCCTGGTGGTCTTGAAAACCGGCCAGCCCGGTCTGATCGCCGAGCTGTGTTCAGCGGAGCTGGCTCACGCGCTCGACGTACCAGTCCCTCGCTGCAGGATGATTGTTCGTGGCGACCGGGAGCATTCGTCGATGCTAGACGGAATACAGCGTGCGGTCGAGGAAGCAGACTCCCCGTGCAAGCGCGTGGTCACCAAGATGGCGAGCGAGCCGCAGGTGCTGCTCTCCCAATTCATTTTGGACGACAAGCCCTCCCGGTTACATGTGAGTAGCGTGCGCCAGCTGGGCCGTCTGGCGGTGTACGACTGCGTCATCTGGAACACGGATAGATTCACCTTCCTGACGGCCTCCCTGGTGGCCTTCCGTGCTGATCAGAAGCTGGGCGAGACCTTTCAGCATATCATCAATTCACAGGCAGAAGCCCAGGGCATCAGCGTGCAGCAGGCCCTGAATGCCATCTCCGGCAACATGGAGAACTGGCTTGTGCGAGGTGACGGCGTCGTCTTTGGCATTGATCAGGGCGTGAGGCCGACGACGGGGACGCACGAGCAGCGGTTGCATGCGCTCGTGGAGGATTTGACGCATAAAGGCAAGGAGGCACAGATCGTGCAATGCATCATCAAACAGCTCGGCGGTCATGGTGTTCGTATCCCGGAGAATTCGGCGGAAGTGCTTCATGGTGCCGTGACGGAGATGGTCGAGCGACTCGGTGCCATGCAGCTCGCTGATGTTGAGCAGATCAGGGACCGTATGGAGATGCATGTCTCCGCCGAACTCCAGCCTGACTGGAGGGAGAAAGTGGCTGGGTGGTTGGATGTGGACGCGGTCTACGCCCGCATTTGCGTGCTGACCAGCCGTGTATCGGCAACGACGGGCCAGTGAAAGGCTCGAACACGATGAGCAGAGCCGTATCGCGTATGTGCGTGCGCCGCGCGTGTGTGTCTCGTGTGTGCAGTGTGTGTATGTGTGCGTGCGTGTGTGACTGTGTGTGTGTGTGTGCACGTGCGTGTGTGTGTGTGTGTGCAAACATTAGCGTTTTAATGCTTTTCCCCACCTCCGTGAGCTCCCTCTCCAACGGCTTAAATGTGCGGGTTCACGCAATCCTCACACGGATACGCAGGCGGACAGGAAGCCATCAACCGATCAAGCCAATTCGTATCGCGCGTCAAGGAGAGACTCTCCGGTGCCATGCCATGCGCCATGCCATGCTCCATGCGATGCGCCGCCGCCGGGCACGCTCCCCTCAGCGCCACTCCCCAGAACGCAGGGCTGCTCCGCCGCGCGTCAAGACAGGCACAGTCACCACGCAACAACAAATTGGCGTCAAGACAGGCACGCCACGCAAGGCGAGAGCAAATTTGCCACATCTAGCAGCATCGAGGCCGAGTGGCCGAGGAGGACCGAGGAGTGGAAAAACTCGTGGAAGCCAAAGCTCGCGTGCTGCGGCCGCTTGACGGCGTACGCGACCAGGCCAGGCAGGTACAGCCAGAAGATGGTCGCATTCACGCGGCAGGCGGCCGGGCAGAGGCAGAACATGGCGCGCACGAGGTACCCGAGCAGCACGCCGAACTGGACGCCCATCAGCAGCTTGACGGCCGTGTGTCCGGCCTTGCGCGGCACGACCGCCTACCCGAAAAGAAAGAGCGCTGCGCATCCACAGAGAGCAGAGAGCACCGAGAGGGAGGGCTGTCAAGCCGCCGAGCGCGGGACGGGTAGCCCCCACCCCCACCCGCAGCCGCGCCCCCGTGACACTGCGGGCGTTGCGCCGTCGGCAGGGCCTTTTCACCGCACTGTTTGACATATCTCCCCATATCTCCCCAGATCTCAGGGTACCTGCGCGAGCGCAAGCACCGATGCGCTCGCCGCGCCGCTCACGCCGCCGAGCAGCGCCGTCGCACCTGGCCACCCAAAGTTGGCCGACCAGAGCCAGAGCTGCGTCGTCAGCACCGAGGAGATGCCGACATAGTCCCAGCGCAGCCACACCGTCTCGGCAGCGGCGGTGTACGCGTCGCCGCCGCGCTTGTCCCCGTTGTGGTACCCATCCGAGATCCACACGTTGGCGCAAGTGGCCGCCGCCGCCAGCACCCGCAGCGCAAGCCTGCCGGGCGAGGCGGAGGACCCAAGCGCTGCGGCGACCGCGACGTAGGCCGTCGCCAGCACGTACCAGAGCCCGGTGCGGTGCAGCCAGCCCATGGCGCTACCGCGGAAGCGCGGCCGCCGCAGGCCCGTCAGCAAATAGGGTGGCCGCGCGTCGGCCGCGCCGCCACCGCCGACGGCAGGCACCTCGTCGCCCACAGCGGAGAGCCGCGGGGCCAGCCGCTGCTGAAGCGGGAGGCGCACCGGCGGGGAGAGGCGAGGCGCGGGTGCGAGGGCCGCGCAGGCGGGCAGGCAGAGGAGCAGCAGCGGCACGCTGTGGCCACGCATGTTATGCGCAAGGGGTGTGGAATTCGCGGGAGGCCGGAGGCACTCCCGGCCGCCGCCCGCAGGAGGGAGGGAGAAGCCTCCTACCGGGCCTTGCGAAGAAGAAATAAATATGGAAGAAGAAACGCTCGCATGGGTAGGTCGGCCTTCGCGTCCGGTGTCAACCACGTTCACTAGCTCGCGCCTCTGATCAGCGTGACAATTACTTGCTTCACACTCCGCTGTGTTGTCTGCCGCATCTGAAGACCTCGCAGACAATGGGGGAGTGTGAATACCCCATAGAGAGATGTCCCTGTTGAGTACTGTCCGATAGTCGAGATGCCTTGTTCCAGAGGGATGTGTCCTGGACGGCGTCTCGTCGTGGTCCTTCAGGAAAGAAAGGTAAAATCTCCTTCAGGACGATAGCTTTGTGTCCTTCAGGACGATGAGAGAGAGAGAGAGAGAGAGAGGACGATGGTGATCTTGGTTTGATCGTTCCTGTACGCCTCGGTACAGACCCTCGCTCCGTGTACAGCTCTGAGCTCACTACAACAACGCACTCTCTCTCATGATAAGCGATCCAACGTAGAAATAAATCCCACATAAACCCGAGACGGTGACGGGATGCTGGCTGGTGGTCTCAGGCCCAGTGAGGTAGTGCATCAGACTATCCCGGATCCTGCTGAACAAGCTCCTCTTGTAGCTCGATCGGTCACACCGCCATCGCCGTCGGGGAGAGGGGGGACGACACTGCCTCGGCAGCGTGCACCTCGATCCTGTACCGTGTTTGTTATGACCCCCCCCAATGAACACACCAGTGAGGGAGGGCGAGACGATCGAGGGGTCCCGTACCACGCGGAATCGACCCTATCCAGTGCTCAAGTGCTCAAGTCTCAAAGAAAGAAGAAAGAGGAGGGTGGCCACGATTGACGGAGGCGAGGCGCGCGGCGCTGATTTGACATGGCAACCGTACTCTCGGCGACTCTGCTCGGGTTGTCTTCTCCGGTCGGCCTCCGCAGATTCTCGCCGCGGATCCGGATGCAGGCCGAGTGGGTGGAGTCCACCGTCTTCTTCGACCCGCCCGTCTCGAGCCGGTTCACGCCGCCGCTCCCGAGCAAGCAGTACCTGCGAGCGAGCGAGGCCGCCGTCGCCAAGCACGCCGCCATCATCTTTCACCAGCTGCGACAGGAGGCCACCGCGCTGAGCGGCTCGCCGCTCACGAGCGGCCTCGGCGAGCGGACAGTGCTGTCGCGCTCGTCGCTGAGCGAGGCGGCGGCGGCCGTCCTCGTCGAGCAGCTGCGGAGCGCCGGGCTCGGGGAGGGTGGCGCCGAGTCGGCGGCGCTGTGGCGCGAGGTGTCCTCCGCCCTCGCCGCGCCGTGGCTGCTCCGCTGCGTCGTCTGCGACCTCTACAAGATTCTCGACGTCGACCCCGCGGCGACGGGGCTGCTGCAGCCGCTGCTCTACTTCAAGGGGTTCCACGCGCTCACGCTGCACCGCGTGGCGCACCACCTGTGGGCGCGCGACGACGGCCCCGCCGACCGCTTCGCCGCGCTCCGCCTTCAGTCTGCCGGCGAGAGATGGCCGGGAGATGGCCGAGAGATGGCCGAGAGATGGCCAAGAAATGGGCAGAGCTGTGGACAGAGCTGTGGCTCGCCTCGAGGTAGGCGCCTCCCTCTTTTCCGTCGACATCCACCCGGCCGCCACCATCGGTGCCACTTCCGAGAACCGTCCACCGCCACCGCCACCGCCGCACCCGCGCGCAGCCTCCCCTACGCACCGCCCCAGTCGCCTCTCCCTACCCCCCCTCCCTCCCCCCCCCTCTCCCTCCCTCTCCCTCTCCCTCTCCCTCTCTTCTCTTCTCTCTCTTGGGCAGCCACTGCCATCCCCTCCGGACTTGTCCCTGACGACACGCCCGACGACCCACCAGGTAGCGGTATATCTACCCCCCCCCGTCCCTCACGCAAAAGCACAGCCCCGGCCCCAGATCGCACGCACGAACGGCCCGTCTCCTCACACACACACACACACACCCTCGCCGCCGCTCCCCGCCCCCGCAGGACCGGGGGTGATGCTGGACCACGCGAGCGGCGTCGTGATCGGCGGCACCGCCGTGGTCGGCAGCGACGTGTACATGCTGCACGGCGTCACCCTCGGCGCCACCGGCAAGCCGATGCACGGCGCGAAGCGCCACCCGACAATCGCCGACTCGGTGACGCTGGGTGCGGGCGCGACCGTGCTCGGCGACATTCTCGTCGGCAGCGGCGTCACCGTCGGCGCGAGCGCCGTGGTGACGCGCGCCGTCCCCGAGGGCAGCACGGTCGTCGGCGTCAACAAGGTGCTCGACGGCAGCCAGCGCCCGCCGAGCGAGGCGGGCGAGGAGGACGACTACACCTGGTTTTATGATATTTGAGAGACATCTTGGCGTGTCTGGGCGCCGGAACCGCCGCGGGATGTATTGTATTTAGCGATTAGCCGAGGGAAGCGCTACTGGTATTGCGAGAGGTGAAATTTTTCTCTCGTATGTCTCTCGAAATCTCAAGGCAGCAGCCTGGGGAGTGGCAGTGGGGTGTGGGGAGCAGCCCAGGCGGCGGCGTGCGTCGCCGCTGTGGGTTGGCGGCGGGCCGAGGGTGTCCGTCGGCGGTCGGTCCCTGTTGAGCGCTCGACGCCACCACGCGAGACAGAGTGGGGTGGCGCGATGTCGGGCAGGAGCGCCCGCCGCCAACACGAAAGCCAACACGAAAGTTGCGTCGGCCACGACGTGGGCACTACAGCGCTCGTGTGGGCAACGCGTGACTGCAGGCACGCCGTTCACGCTCTTCTCGCTAGATGCAACACTCTTTGACGCGGGGCCGGCGGCGGCGTGACGGCACCCTCCCTGGCTGTCCCAGCCTGTGCGAGGCTGCCGCTGCCTACCCCGGACAGCGCTTCCCACAAAATACCGCTGCCGCGCTGCCGCCGCGCTCACGGGCCTCGCAAAACATCGCCCCCGCCCCGGCCCTCGCCCACCCGCAGCCGAGTCTCTCCAAACCCTCTCCACCAACGGTGTGTGCTCTTTGAGCCACGCTGGCTGAGCGGGATCCAGTCCACGCTGCCCGAGCGTATGGAGGAAAGGGTTGGCGCCCCCGCTCGGAGAGACAGCCAGCCGTGCACCCACCTCTGCGCGCCGTCACTACTCGCCGGCCCCGGAGCCAGCAGTGCCTCGATTTAGCACACTGCCTTCTCTTGCGCCTCGTCGCTCGTTGTCCTCGGCATCTCACCACCAGCCATGCGCAGGTCAGGTGGCCCTCGACACGGCGACGACGCGCTGGCCAGCAAAGGCCTCGACCTTCATCGGCTGCCACTGGCTCTGCCGGTCGCCGTGGCCCAGCGCGCCCAAGCCTCCCTTGCCCCAGCTCCAAACGGCGCCGCTCGCGGTGAGGGTGAGGTTGTGGTGGGCTCCAGCCGACACGCTCACGACGGTCGACGCGCTCGCCGCCCAGCGTTGACGGGAGCCGCGTCGGCGTGTTGAGCGTGCATATTCACGGAGCTGGGCGAAGGTGAAGATGCGAGGGTGGAGAAATTTAGCTTACCGACCTTACCTGACACTCGAGGGAGAAAAGAAACGGGAACCCGGGGCCCCGCCACGAGAAGTGCGTTCTGGGGATGCAGAGCGTGCAAGGCGGCTAGGGATGAGGCCACAAAAGAGGCGCGGAGGCAAGGAGGAGACGCGGGGAACTGGGAGACTGGGACGACTGGAAACAAGAAGACAGTGAGCCACCACAGGCGTCGTTGGCGCACATACTGAGCGGCAGCTGCGCTGGAAATAAGGAAGAGGCGCGTCACTTCATGCGGAAGCTCGACAAACATACAGCGAGGGCGACAGCAAGAGTTGAACGGGAGGCGCCGGACTCAAAAGACACCGCCACATTCCTGAGACGAGCGAGGGCAGCCTCCTTAAAGGCGAAAGGGTCTAGATTTGGAGCGCTCGCCGAAGAGGAGTACGACAAAATAGCGCCCGTGATTGCCTGCACGCTACCCGCACTCACGGACTCCATACCCGAAAGAAAGAGAAGGGAGCTCGCGGGAGAGGTGACGAGTGAACTACAGGTAGTGGGGAAGGCAGCCTCGATTGCCATACAGACATGGGTGCGAAACAACGACAAGACCAAGGCACGGGCAGAGGAACGAGAGAAGAATATAGGGTGGATAAAGCGCCTGTTCACGGCATGGAGGGTGAGCCACACCGAACGTACCGAGCGAAGAGCCGAGCGGAAGGAGGACGGGGAAGATGACTCCGAGGAGGACGAACCAGTGGAAATCCAGTTGTCAGATGTCACGATGCATCCGAAGGGGACCCCAGCGCCGGCATCATCCGTAGAGGCACGAGTGTTCGAAGAGAGAGTGGACCTGAGCAACAACATGACCTGTAGGCAAATGATCGGAGTGGGAGTCAGAAATGTGGTCCTTGCGCGAGGGGAGCTCGATAGACTCGAGGGGCCAGGATACGCCGCGAGGAGGACGGAGTTGCGCCGACAGGCGAAAGAAGCCGCGAGAACAAGGGACCGGCAGGCGGCGGCGTCGCAGGACGAGGCAGAAGAGAACAACGCGACAGAGGAGGAAGTGACAAGGGAGAGAACGACGAGGGTGGGACGACCGCGAGGTGGCATGAAGGTTGCAGCGAGAATCGGCGAGAGACTGCGAAGAGAGATAGGAAGAGGCAGACTCCCTAGGGTGGGCGACGGATAGCGCACCACACACCTCTCCTTAAAATCCCTGTGTGGTGGCGGCGTGCCGTCCTCCCATCCCTCCCTTGGGTTGTCTGTTTTCTTTCTTTCTTTCTGCAAACTGAAATTCTTTTTCAGTGAATGAGCTTGCCTGTGGCGGGGGTGGGCGGGTGCACGGAGCTAAGTGCCTCGCCACCCTCGCAGGAGTCGCTTAGGCGGCTCCCGTGGTGTTGGCGCCGCCGCCAAGGTGTCCGCCGCCGCGGAGGCAGTCGCCGAGGAGGCCACCATCGCCGAGGCGCCCGTCGCCGAGGAGGTCGTCGCCGAGGAGGTTGCCAAGGAGGTCGAGAAGCCGGTCAAGACCGTTTCAAACACGCCCGACCCAACGGTGAGCGCGCCGCAGCATTCTCTCCTGGCACTCATCGCTTCCCACCCACCGGTAACAATTCTCTCTCCCGTCTCCGAACACCTGCGTATGCGCTCTCGCCCACAGGCGTGCGGCGTCAAGGACGACGTCGTGAAGGAGGACGACGTCGAGGGCGAGTCTTCGCCGATGAAGTCCTTCGCGAAGGTCGGAATCGTGCCGGCTGACGACGGCCGCATCACGCTCGTCATCTCCGCGTCGGAGTCGCCTTCGCTCCTCGGAGCCAAGGTGCGCGTGCGCTCGCCAGGATCGTGATCACCCCCCTCCGGTCTCTGAAAGCCTGCGCGTTCTCTCCCTCGCCACAGGCGTGCGGCGTCAACAACGTCAACATCACCGTCGCAAAGTCTGCCACGGAGGACGTCCTCAAGAAGGACCCGGCCGCGGAAAAGGCGCCCGACGCGGGCGCGTTCGACTCGGACAAGGCCAAGGCCATGTTCGCCGCCCACGCGCCCGCCGTTTTCTGGTCCAAGTTTGAGCGCCCGACCGTCGTGGGCGCCCTCAAGAAGGCTGCGGCAAAGTCTGGCGCGGATCCTGTGCCCAGTGTCGTGCGAGGGAGTTTTGTTGTAAAATTCTTTTTCAAATTCGGCGGCCGAGGAAGAGAGCTCTACCCCTACCCCACCGAGCTGTACCCCGCGGCATACACACATGTTGGCCGCTCTCGCCGTCGCCGCCCTGGCGGCGCCCGCGCCCTCCGACTTGCGTGAGTCAGCGATCAATCCGAAAGCGCGCGGGCCCATCTTTGCCCCGGCTCTGGCGCCGTGTGACGCCGGCTTTGTCCCGACGTGCGAGCAAGCGAAAGGCTTTGGCCTCTGCAACACCACCAACTCGGCCTGCGACACGACCTGCGTGGACGAAGTGAAGATGACCTGCCCTGTGACGTGCAGCCTCTCGGCGGAGGCGACTTCCGGGCACCTGGAACCGGACGCCACCCCGTCCGACTACAGCAAACACTTGCCGCCCGCCGCCACGGCGGCCATCTGCAGCACCTGCGCGGACCACCCCGACCTGCCCTGCTGCCACGACCATCCGCACGAGAGCGATGACCGCCGCCGCCTGCAGCCGGACATGTGCACCGAAGCAATGAGTGGCGGCTCGCCGCCCCCCCTGCCTTCCACCGCATCGCCGCCCCCTGCTCTGTGCGTGGACACGTGCACCTACTACGGGATGACTCTGCCCCACTCGTTGGACTTCGTGAACGACGGCACATGCGACGATGTCTGCGACCCCGGGACGGACTGTACGGACTGCAGCGGCGGCAGCCGGCGACGTCTCGTCGCTTCTAGGGTACGATACTGAGGGAGGGTGTAGAGGATGTAGAGTGTAGAGCGCTGTGTGTCTCGCGCTGTAGAGCTGTAGAGCATAGTGAAATATATATTATACCAAAAGGAGGGCTACACGACGCCCTCTACGCTGGGGTGCCGGCGCCCTACTGGGCGCCCCCCGCTCCCTTCCCCTCAGAGCCCCCCATCCCACTAGCATTCCCCCGCGGTCCCTCGCGGCCGCGTGACGCCGCACCAATGGCGCGCTGTGCCTCGTCCGCGAGCGCCACCCAGAGCTGCACCGACAGTCGCTGCAGCGCAAACGGCATCCATTCGCGCGCCGACCACGACGTCTGGTCGTACTGCCACCATGTGAGCTTCCGGCCCGCCACCTCAGCCACCCGCCTCAGCAGCTCCTCCACCCCCGCGCTCATCGCGCCGAACTCCTCGAAGAGCAGCGCCTCCACACGGCACTTCCCCTCTGCGTCCGTGTACTGGCCCTTGACGGCCTCGACCGTCCCGGACCCCGTCCGCGGGTCCCACCTCCCCACCCTCCCGCCCCTGTCCCCGCCCTCCACGCCCAAACCCGGCTCGCGGGCGCGTGGCAGCGTGTTGCCGCAAGCGACGAACGCCCCCATGCGCCCCGCCCCCGAGGGGTCCGACGGCACACTGGCAAAGATCTTCGTGTCGCCGATGCCGGGCAGGTCCCCTATCACGCCCTGGTAAATGTACAGGTCCGTCCTCGTAGTGCTGTGCTCGCAGTGAAACTCGTGCTCCACCGCGCCGCGCCCAAGCTTGCCCCGCAGCAGCTCGACCAGGTCCAGGAGGACCTCCTTGTGCCGCGTCTGGTGGCCCGCCGCGCCGTCGTTCTGCGCCACGTCGCCGAGGGCGTCAAAGGGCAGACCGTGCTGGCTGTAGATGCTGTCCGCCATGACGTCCGTCATCATCGACAGGTGCAATCCGAAGCGGCGCTGCAGCGCGAAGCGCAGCACGTACGAGGGCAGAGTGACGGAAGTGCGCGCGGGTCGGGATCGCGTTCAAGAATGCACCCGCGCCGAACTGGCTCGCCGAGACAAACCGCACCTGCTCCCTCCTCCCTGCGCGGCCCGCCGCCGCATGCATCTCCCTCCAGGCTGAATGGTGAATCGTCGCGGAGTATCGGCGCTGAGCGTTTTTGTAGAAGATTGCTGCGCGAGCTCCATTCAGTAAGCGGAAGGTATGCATGCGCCGGGGGCAGCCCTCTCGGGTTGTAGATGCGGTAGGCCCGGCCAGTCTTGTCGTAGAAATAGTACGTCTTCTTGTCCTCTTGGTACTTGGCGTCGAGGGCGGCGTGCGCCGCCACCAGCCGCGCCTGGCGGCGTGCGACGTCGAGGTGGACCGGCAGCAAGACCACGCCCGCGCGTCGGATCGCGTCCACCACCTCGTCGCCGCGCAGCCCGCGGCCCACCGCTGCCTTGGCCGCCTCTGCCGCCCTCGACTCGGCGCCCTCCGCGCCCCCGCCGGCGGCGAGGCCGGCGCCGCCCCCCGCCGCCCCAGCCCCGCCCCCGCCGCCTAGGGTCGCGCCGCCCGCCTCCCCGCCCTCGCCGCCCTCGCCGCCCTCGAGGCCCTCGCCGCCCTCGCCGCCCTCGCCGCTCAGGTCTCGCCGGACCGCATCTCAGCATCCCCGCCACCGCCGCCACCACCGCCGCCGCCCGCCGCCCCGGGCACGCGCGCCTCACGAGCGTACCGCGCCTTGAGAGACACCGCCGCCAGCGGCTGCTCGACCGCCGACTCCGCCTCCGCCTGCCCGGCCGCCGCCCCCGCCGCCGCCAGACCGCCGACGCCGCCACCGCGGCGGCGCCGAGGTCGATGCCGCGCGCCAGAGGCTGCGGGCAGAGGCGAGCGATAGGCTCCCAGTAGAGGCACCACGAGCCGACGATCGCCGCGTCGGTGACGGCCGACATGGAGGTGAGGCCGGCGCCGCCGAGCTTGACTGGCAGCCGCGCCTGCTGCAGCGCCGCCCTGCGCTGCGCCGTCGAGCTCAAGCGCCCCGCCGTGAGCTCGTTGAACGCCTCGCCGATGAGCCGATCGTGCAGCCGTGCCGCCTCCCGCGTCGCCTCGTTACAACGCTCTTACACCCACGTGTAACAGGGGTGTAAGATTTGCTGTTTTGCTCATTGATCGCGGGTTACACACGTGTGTAACAAAACAGTTAGTGGAAACTCCACATCGCACATGTGTATGTCAGGGGTGTAAGCGTTCGTCGAGTTTTTCTAATTGACCCGCGGGTTAGACTGAGTGTAAAGCACATGTAACGCGAAAACGCTCTGTTAACACTACCAAAAACGGGTGTAACATGGGTGGTAAAAGACTGTGTAAGGGTTCAGGGTGTTCGTCGGCGTGTGGTGTCGGGTTTACACTACCAAAAACGGGTGTAACATGGGTGGTAACAGACTGTGTAAGGGTTCAGGGTGTTCGTCGGCGTGTGGTGTCGGGTTTTTGACGTCATGACGTACTCGGCGCGCGCGGCGATCGGAGCACCCCCTCGTCGGTTCACCCCTCGAACAGCGATGCAAGCACACAGGCGTGAGCGCGTGAAACGGCCCGTCGGCGAAGGCGACTCGCGCTGGCACGTGCACAGAGGGATGTTGAGATACGCCGCTACACGTGTGGGCGCCTATCTAGGGGAACATCGCGCCCCATGCGTGGGCGTGTATGTCACGCGGTAACGCGGCTGCGAGTGCAGCCGCCTATGTTGGCCAAGATAGGCGGCTGCACGTGTGGGCGCGAGTACCGCTATACGCGTCTGCACGTGTGGCCGCGTATCTTGGCTAAGATACGCGCCGGCACAGAATGACACGTATCAGGCCCCGCCGAGCTCGATGAACGCCAGCGGGTGAGGGCGGCTATTCTCCCCCGAGGCAGGCACGGATACACAGTCCCTCGTGTCGCGCGTGTAAGTCCCGGTTGCCGTGCGCGCCAGCGCGTGTGGCCGCGTACCTTAGCTAAGATACGCGCGCACGGGCGTGGGAGGGTAAAAACGGGTCACTTTGCGGGGTTTGCCCCCCCTACAGTGCTCGTGTGGGCAACGCGTGACTGGCAGGCACGCCGTTCACGCTCTTCTCGCTAGATGCAACACTCTTTGTGGCAGGCGCGATGAGCGTCGTGCCACCTGACCCGAGACGGGTCGCAGGCGTCGTACCGAGCGCGTCGAGACCGTGTCCTGATGTGCTCTGCACGGGTGAGTCACGTCGGCGTCAAAGGAGCGACGTGCGACCTGTCAGAGCTTGATCTCCGATCTCAGCGGCGTCGAGTCGCCTTCGGCGGCGACAATTTTGTACCTCTCCAGGACGCGCAGAGGCAGCTGCGACCCCGCCGTGTGGACGGTTGCACACCGCGCCACCTGCTGTGTGCAACCGTCTACGTGGCTGGGTCGACAGCGATTGTAGGAAAATTGGGGGACCAAATCACGGTCGCGGCCTTCCGACTCGCGCCTCCGCCTCACTGGCACTATTGTAGCCCTGGCCGGTGCGCGTGCGGAGTTGAAGTTCCGGAGTGAAAATTCGAACGCGTTCTCTCACGGTGACCCAAAAATGTCCACCTCAGAGGCACCTCCGGAGGCAGGCCGCCGCACGCCGGCGACACAGCTCCAGCTGTCGAGCTGACCCGCAGCTCCTCTCAGAGCGGGAACTGTGACGAAAGTTGACTGAGGCGGTTGTCAGGAATCATCATACGGATCACATGGTGGCTCTCTCATGACGGGAGAGCGCCCGACCACTCCTGGGTGGCACTGCCACCGGTGTCGCTCGACGTCCTGTCGACAGCGTGCCGACAGCGACACAGACCATGTGGGACGCGTCGATTATCGACCTCTACTGCTTACCCAGCCTTCGAGTGTATCCTGGCTGTGGTCCCACACCCACTGGTGTCCATCTCAGAGACCGCAGGAGGTCATGAGGGTCGATGGGAGTGCCAACCCCACAATGCCTAAAGACCCAGCCCAGTACTCGGCGGGTCGCAGCTGCACCTCTGGAAGGCACCGAGAGGTACGAAATGGCGCAAAAAATGGTCAAAATCAAGGTTTTGTAACGCGAGCTGTGCCACAGTGAAATGGAACTAGCCTGAGTCGAATTCGCGACAGCTTACGTGTGTGGCTGGCCACACACGCACTCTAGCGTAAACTGACCGGGCCGGGGGCACCACAACGCCCCAGACACGCTCACATCGACGCACCCACCCACACCCTCCTCTCACACCACCTCCGTCGCCGCCCCTGGCCCTGCCTCGCCGTCCTCCGCACAGATGGTGCCGGCCGCCGCGCCGCCCACCGTCCCCTCCGCCGCGCCGTCTGCGTCGGCGCTGTGCCGCGCCAGGTCGGGCGCGTTGCCGTCGGCGTCGAGCGCGTCCACATTCTCGCGGCCAAACAGCTTGGGCAGCGTCACGATGCGGAGCGGGACGAGGACGGCGATCAGGACGGGGAAGAGGCAGTTGGCGTATGGCACGAGCGTGACGCCGAAGATGCACGCGAGGATGAGCAGCTGGAGCGCCGTGTACCGCCTTACCACGCCGGAGGGCACGCCGTCGAGGAAGTCGAGGCCGCGTGCGGCGCGCCGCGCCGGGTCCGTGATGAAGAGGACGAGCCGCTGGTAGAACGAGTTGCCGCCGAATGAGGCGATGCCCATGTAGATGAAGAGGCCGTCGAGAGCGGCGATCGGGATGTAGCCGAGCACGGTGAGCGCGCAGAGGGTAAGCCCGATCAGCACTGCCTGCGCGAGCCCCGACACCCGCTGCTCGTGGCAGTGCGTGATCACCTCCACCTTGTCGTGCGCCGAGTGACCGGCCGGCCGCGTCCGCCACTCCTTCTCGCAGAGTGAGTCCGTGTGCAGCGGCGCCTAGGTAGCTGCACAAGCAGGCGTCCGACTGCTGTTCCCTGCGAGATGCCGAGTTGCGCGATCTCGAGCCATCTCGGGCCATCTCGGGTCATCTGGGGCCATCTCGGGCCATCTCGGGCCATCTCGGGCCATCTCGGGCCATCTCGGGCCATCTCGGGCCATCTCGGGCCATCTCGCCTGCGGGATGAGGCCGTTGACGGGGGGGATGCCGAGGAGTCCCGTGACGAGCATCTGCACGCCAATCACGAAGAAGTCCCAGTGGTAAGCGGTGCCCTTCTTGAGGCCAAACTCGGGCGCCTAAGGAAAGGGAAGGCAAGCTCAACTTCTCCACACACACAAGGTGGTGGGGCAAGGGCCAGGCTAGCCCCTCGCGGTTACACGTCTAGACGACAGGAGCCGCACGGCCCGGTGCGCGCCGCAGGGCCCGGTGCGCGTGGTGAGCGGTGTGTGTGTGTGTGTGTGTGTGTGTGTGTGTGTGTGTGCGTGTGTGTGTGTGTGTGTGTGTGTGTGTGTGTGTGTGTGTGTGTGTGTGTGTGTGTGTGTGTGTCTGCTGTGTACCCGGGCGCCTGCTGCGCGTGCGCCCGTGGGCAGGGGGGAGCTTGGAGTTCGGGCTGCCTATCTACTCGGGCGCCTGCGCGAGGAGAGAGGAGACGTTGTGGTCGAAGAAGAAGAGGACGGTCAGGATGAGGGCGGGGACGATGGCGAGGACGATCGCCCACGCAGGGCAGTCCGCGGGGTTGATCAGCCAGCCGCGGTCAGCTGACGGCTCCACCGCGTCGGGCACGTCGAGCGTGGCGATGGTGGAGGCGGTGATGTTGTCGCCGTGCGCGGCGGGCGTGAGGTCGTAGTTGGCGCCCATGTAGGGCACGAAGCAGAAGAAGAAGATGGAGGCGGTGGCGCCGTAGTCGGCGAGCAGCGTGCGCGCGGTGCGGTTGAGGATGGACCACGAGCGTGCGCTGGTGAGCAGCAGCGCCAGCCAGGTGGTGCCGAGCCTATAGGTTCAGGTCAGGTCAGGTCAGGTCAGGTCAGGTCAGGTCAGGTCAGGTCAGGTCAGGTCAGGTCAGGTCAGGTCAGGTCAGGTCAGGCAGACGTCTCCACACACACAAGGAGAGTGGTGCGTTGGGCAAGGGCCAGGCGTCTCCACACACACAAAGAGAGTGGTGCGTGGGGCAAGGGCCAGGCGTCTCCACACACCACACAAAGTGGTGGGGCAAGGGACAGGCTGTCCCTTGCGTCTCCACGCCCGGGACACGGGCAGGAGCCCCATTGCAAGTGCAAGCACCGGCCCGGTGCAGTGTGATAGGTTGTGGTGAGGACGCCAGCCTCAGGGCGGGGGAGTAGCTACGGTGTGCGCCGTGTCTTCGAGAGCACCGCGTGAGTACGAGGGGTGCAAATGTAGGAGGAGTCTTACGGCGGAAGACACAGTGGAATACGTGTCTTGTCAAGTGCTGGTTGGGAGACAGACGAACACGTATTCCGCTTCTAGGGCTCAAGCGGAGGTTCATATGGAGGCAGATGTGGGGGAGATCTTCCGCTTCTAGGTACCAGCCCGACCACCAGCGAGAGGAGGGCGGGCTGCGGATCGAGGTCGACAAAGTAGGTGATGAGGTTGCGGAGCCCGTTGTAGATATAGATGACGGCGATCAGCATGCCGAAGGTCTCGCACGAGTACCGCGTCACCAGCGTGATGAGCGAGCACGCGTTGGACGCCGCGAGGCCCATGTGCATCAGCGCCGCCCAGATCTGCACCCAGCAGTAGAAGGGGAGGAAGTCGATGCCGAGCGCGTCCGAGATGTTGAAGACAGCGATCGTGAAGATGGTGACCGGCCCCGTCACGCCGACGATCACGAGCGGCTGCCCGCCAAAGATGGCAAAGATGGAGCCGGTGACGGCGGTCGACAGAATAACCTCGACCGGACCGAGCTGTGCGCGGCCGTCGACGCGCGTCTGGTCGCCGAGCAGGGCGGAGAAGGTGATGCCGGGCGCAATACTCGTGAAGAACATAAACAAAGCCGACGAGACGACCTTGCGCGTGTAGGCGTCCGTCCAGTCGCTCAGGTAGTGCGGCCGCCGCCGATTGAGATCGTTCCGCATCTCTGCGAAAGGGCGGCGCCAGTAGCAGGAGACGCGAAAGCGCTCGTCACCACCGCCGCCGCCCTCCTTTGGGGCCCCGCTGTCGTCGGGATTCGCCATGACGCGCTGGCACATGCAGCCCACCGCGAACCACGCGGAAAGGTGGATGCGGAGCCCTGGGAAGGTGGTCGTATGCGCCGTAATAAAGAAATACGGCCATCACGCCCTTCCACCCCCGGGAGGTCGAGCTGGCACGCCGTAAGAAAGAATTTCTGTTCACCTCTGTCCTTCGTCAACGAGCGGCACATCCACATTGTCCGCGCGCTGCTAGCACTCGTGCCGGACGGAGCGCAAGACGGGTTCCAGTGGGAGAAGCGCGTGCTGTACGGACGGCCCATTCCCGGATGACGTGTACTCGGCATTGGCTGCGGTGACCGCCAGCATCTTCTCGACGATGGCGGTGTACGAGCGTGGACCACGCGGGCGTGCTCGACGGGAGCGGGTCCCGGGTGTATCGCCTGACAGCCCGACCGTGGCAGCATTTGCGGACGCGGGCTTGCGCGTTCCGCGGTACGTGGACCTTGCAGTAAACCTTTTCCTTCTAAGCAGGGCTACACAATGACCCTATAGGGTGGGGGTGTTCCTGGCGAGTTGTGATGAGTAGGATTAGACTAGTCAATACTATTTTCAAGTTCATATATGAAAATACCAACTTGCCTATGTGCATCCCCGCCGCGCAGCACTGCGCCGAGCACTTTGCCGTCCAGCGCAACGCCTCGCGCGAAAACGTGCGAATCGCCTCCAACTACACGATGCCGTTCACCGCCTCCGTCAAGCACGCAACCGCGTACTTGCGCGCCGGCGCCGAGAACATCTCGCTCTACGTCAACGGGCAGCTGCGCCTCGCACGCTCGGTACTCCCCGCTGCACAACGTCACGCACGAGGGCAAGAACGGGACACAGCAGCGAGCTCGCTGGCGGCGTCCTCACGCACGCCACGCACTGCATCTCGCCGGAGAGCGGCCCGCTCTGGCTGCGCAAGGGCGACTCGCTCCTCGTCGAGGCGTGGTACTTCGCCGGACGACACGACAAGCGGCTGCCCTGGTCCGACGGGACGCACCTCAACGCCGCCGCCCACTTCTTCCTCGCCTTCGAGCCCGACGCGCCCATCTCCGACGTTGGCTCGGGCGAGGCCGTGGCGGAGGAGGACGAGGGGGGCGAGGCCGCGCTCCTCGACGCGATGGGGCCGCTGTTAGTAGCGAGGACACTGCTGTAGCGGGGACGAGGACCACGTGGTTGACAGTTGAGGAAATCGGCCTCAACCACCGCTATGAGTTCGAGTGGTCGGGTGCGATGTTTTCTCTTTCGGATTGTGTTTCTTTCTTTGTCATATCGCGCGATGCCGCAGGCGCGAGTCCTTTCGGCGCGATCCTGCACAGCCAATGTTCCTCCTGTCAGAGCCTGTCAGCGACTTCTGGCGCGCATGCCGGCCACGATCCTCCTCCAATCTTACGTACGGCTTAAAGCCGTACACGCGGACACCATTCCTCACGCAGTCACGCTCCGCCTCCGGCGCCTCCGCCGCCAGAGATGTTTGCATTCACCGCACTGCTGAGGGGTGTCTGCTGAGGGGTGTCACAGCGCGCATGCAGGCGGGTATGACGTCTCCTTACTCAGCACATTGTATACACGCATTTGTGGCGCTTACGGTAGGTTTACCAACCGCCTCGCCCCACGCCCCGCCCGCCCCTCCCGCCCCGCCCACCGAGACCGCCGCGTCCGCGCCTACCGACTGCCGGCACAGCGCCGCCGGCCGGCGGGAGGTTCGGCACCGCGCGAGGAGACTGGTAGACAAAGGTCGTCTGCGCCGCCACGCCTGCTCC